TTATTGACCATTGAAAAACAACAAAAAGAAAACCTCCACTATGCTTTGAAATTAATGTAATAAAGTGAAGTACTTCCAAAGGCATACAATGAGACAGGAATTTGAGCCAGGCAAGATAGCAGAAAGCGAAATACGTATCAATGTTCCTAACCAATATTAATGCAACAAAAATAACAAAATATTGGCTAACTGAATCTAACGTGATGCATGTATATAAATGATAATACACTCTAGGAATGTGTATGTTTATCCTAATAAACAACTGATGTTTATCTTAATAAAATGAGACTCTTTTTTAATATCAAAACGTTAAATCTATTTCATATAATAAATCTATTCATATAATAATAATAATAATAATTTCATGATAATATAATATTGGATGAAGGAATTGAACCATCTAAACAGGCACAGGAAAATCATTTACCAAAAATAAAAATCTCTATGTGATTTTTTTCAAGTATAAAAACCTTAGGAATAACAAAGAATATCGTCAACCTGTCAACTTAAAAAAAAAATCCACACCAAAAATTCTGTAAAGCAAAGGGGCTATTGTACATAGGGTGGCTGTGAGTCGCAGGCAACTTGACGACACGTAACAACAACATTTTGGAGATACCCTTGATAGTGAGTGGATTAGACCAAAGCAATAAGTTTCCTGATATCCTGATTATTGGTATCAAGGGTATTAATTATGGATTCTAGCAAGATGAAATCATAAACAACTTCAATACTTTCTCCATGTGTAAAGATATTTCTTATTGGCTTAGTGAATATTTTGTCTTCTTGATGTTCAGATGCAATTCATATTAAAATTGTTGTTCTTCATCTTCTGCAAGCAAGCATTTTAAGGCCTCCTTGTTTTCAGGAAGCACCGTGTTCCATTTGTATAACACAATATTTGATGAGTCTTCTTCTGATCCTAAAGCTGCCTTCCTCTTCATAGAGTCCAGCTGTACAAATTACTTTCTCAACGTATAGATTGAACACATACAGAGAAAGGATACATCCCTGATGCACATCCATCCTGATTCAAACACACAACCGTATTAGGAGACTTCTCAATGTAATACATCTCCCAATCTCCTGACTACTGGTACCACTCTACATACAATGTTGTTGTTTCAGTTGCCTTTGAGTAGAGTATGACTCATAGAAACCCCATGAACAACAGATCTGAACTCTGTCCTATCCTGTACCATCCTCATTATCTCTAACACACTTGAGCCACTCATTGTCATCACTGTGTCTATATATCCAATTGTGATCTTCCACTCCTCTGTAAAGGTCATGTAAAGATTTACTGTCTTGGAAACCAATTCAGTAGATTTGGACTAATTTGGTATAATGTTATACATACAGTGCCCTTAAAATCATGTCGTTATCAGAACAATGTGAACAAAGATAGGCAATGGAATCACTAGAGCAATTAGTGTCACATTAGGATACAGTTAAAAGTTATATTATCGAAGAAAATCTAATTTTTGACAATACAATCCCAAGGCTACCAGTACCTTATATTATATAGAACAAATACTTTCCAACTGGATCCACCAGTCAACTTGAAATGTATATTCTATTTTTTATTTGTGTCAACTTATTCTTTAATGAGTTTTTTCATATTTCTCCTCAATATTTTAAAAATTTTATTTATTTCCTTTTTCTCCAGGGAATATGAATGAAGATAAAGGTATGTTTTCATCTTTGCATAAGCACAAATAATGTAATTAGAAGAAAATCAGTGTTTGAATACATAGGAACAAAACTATGAGTACCTTGGTACTGAGTTATCAAAAGAACTATAAATGAATTCATTTTCTCCTCATTTGTAAATGCACATCTATTTCTTCTTAAAGGATTTTTATCCTTATTTTACAGGAGAAGTGAAATCAAATTTTGTGAAAGGTGAGAGTATTACTTTTAGTTAACCTACTAAGAGCATAACTGATAGATCTCCAGTCCTAGACTATGTGAAGTTAGAACTATGAGTGCTTTGGCATTGTCTTATAAATATTTTTTCTATTAGTGATTTTATCTTCTTTAATATTGTCTTTACTAAAAATTGCATCTGTGTTATTATATATTATTTAATTCTGGCTATATAGGCAGAGAGAAGACAAAAAGAAAATGACCCAATTTAAAATATAATATAAATATGCATATTATGTGTGTGTGCATGTGTGTAATTCAAGAAACATTTGCTTTGTTCTTTGAAAATGAAGTTGGCATATTTGGGGAAAACAGACATCAAAGTCAATTTATATAATCCACAAAACCTATGTTTTTATCTTTGTGAGTAGGAACAGAGTTGAATAAATTTTTCAGCAGTCATTAAGATATTATTAGTCTCTCCTAATCCACGACAAAGAAGAGGGAGGAAAATTTATGGCTTATAGAAAAAAAGCAGTCAAAATTACTAGCAGACCATGTAAAACTTAATTTTCATAACTCAGAAACCATCGACAACTTCAATCTTTTCTCTATCTGTGATGATGTTTCTTTTTTTATTGTAAATATGTTTATTAGCACTTTTTGTTTTGATTTTTTTCTTATTAATTTCAATGAAAATT